GGTACCACTTTCTTTTTTCCTGCTTAAGAAGTACTTTTTCCTTATTTATCCTTTTTTCTTCATGATGCTAAGGGCAGTGGTAGGTTCCAGGGATAAAATATTCATTAAGGAATGGTATCTTTTCTTCCTAGTAGTTTAGGGTTGGTGTGGGAGACTGGCAGGGCACAGCAATTGAAGAACAGGGTGATGAATGGCAGGACTGGGTGATCTAGGAGGACCAAGGAGGCCTAGCCAAGCACCTGAAGTTAGGCTGGGAGCTAAAACACATCCCATGAGTGGGGACACTTCAGATGAATTTTTATGGTATTAGGCCAAATAAGATGTGGGGTAGGGAGAGAGACAGAGGGCGGGTATTCCTCATAGAGGGCATTTTATTTAGCAAAAGACAAGAAGTCTTGTCTCAACCACTGTAGCCTGTGTGTTAGGAGGTCAGGCATTTCATGTGCTAGAACCTCCTTACTCATCTCAAAAGTGGAACTAAGAGTCAAGGGGCAGTCATTGTCATATATAGGCTATGAGCCTGGCCTTTGAAACTGGACCCTGGGTTCAAATGCCAGATTTACCCATTACATCCTATGTGCTCTTGGGAAAATTACTTCTTTAGAAAGGGGTGATAATGGTGCCAGTCTTATAAAACTGTAAAGATAAAACAATGCATAAAACAACTTCTAGTTATTATTATTTTTACCGAGCCACAGGTTATTTTGAAAAATAATGAGGCTGCATTTGAATGTGCTTTGTAAATGATAAAGCTCTGAACAAATTGTGACCTGGTGCAAATTATACTCAAAGCACAATGATTTTTAGAGAGAAGAACAGCACCCTTCTTTCTTTTTCATGAAAGATTAATTTCCATTTTAATTTGGGCCAGGAAAATTCTTGGCCACAGGTGCTCTTGAATTCAATTTTTCAAAAAGTGGTTCAGTTGGAGGTTTGTCACTTTGGCTCTGTTGGCTTTTTTTTTTTTGTAGGGGAAGAGGGGCTCACAACTGACAAAGAAAGTGCAATGACATTTTCAGCATGGAGGTGGAGGGTGGCCACTGTGCCTTCACAGGGACAGGCATCTCACTCAATTCAATGTTGTTGTTGTTGTTATGTGCCATCAAGTCAGACCTGACTCACAGCCACCCCACCTTGGGTTTCCGAGGCGGTATCACTACAGAAGTGATCGCCCATTCTGAGGAGTGGCTAGCCTTCTGGTTAGCAGTCAAGTGCCTTAGGCACTATGCTACCAGAGCTCCTTCAATGAGAGTTCAAAACCAAAAACCAAATTCACTGCCATCGAGTCAGATCCAACTCATAGCAACCCCTCCTTGGGTTTCTGAAGCAGTATCTCTATGGAAGTAGATTGCCCAATCTTCCTTCCAAGGAGTGGCTGGTGGGTTTGAACTTCTAGCCTTTTGGTTAGCAGTCAAATGCCTTAGGCACTATGCCACCAGAGCTCCCTCAATGGGAGCTAGGCATGATGAAATGGAGGGTACAGCACTGGCTGCGCTTCAGTCTCCCAGCGTTTCTTTTCCTGGATGATGTTTCCACTCCACTCCCCAAGTCCTGCCATCCTCTGCAGCTCATTCACATTCATGAAAAACAGGTGTTGTTACTGCTTCTGGGACCCAGGCCAGCACTTTGCATACCTGGTTTGCAGGGCCTGATGCAAGCAGGTGAACCAGGAAAAGTTCTAACCTCTTGGGTCACATAGAGGCTTTGAACGTGGGTCCTCATTCTCCCACAGACATTGTCAAATCAAACTGGAGAAATTCAATGCACTCAAGTTCCCATGAAGCTCATGAGATTAAGGATGGCATAACTTAGGAAAGTTATCTCTTGGTCCAGATGTGCAGCCTGACTCCCACCTGTAAACCTTCACCTGTCTGACTCCAACAATGAGAGTCAGGCAGACTACAGTGAATGGGAACTGCTTGAAGGAGAGCAAGAGTAAAAGATTCAAGGCCTAGCACTAGTGATTTGGCCTAAATGAATGTGTCACAGCTAAAGAACATTACTTTGAGTCCTGAAAGCATCATTTGTACTTGCAGAATCCACTGTTTGGCCTCTGAATGAGAATGTGAGTGTTGGGGAGACCCTAGACAAGCAAGCCCAGGTGTGGAGTCCAATGGCCAAAGAATTATCTGGAGAACTTTCTCAAAAATGTGATGTTCTCCCAGTAGATCTGGGCCTAGGAATCTGCATTTAAAAATATCTCCAGAAGATTCTAATGTTTGGCCAGAATTTAGTCAATATCTTTATTTTAGATGTGGGAAAACTGAAGCTTAGGCATTTGGCTTGAGTTCTTAAAGTCTGCTCAGGAGCCAGCATTGCAGAGAAGTCAAAGAACACGTGGAGTTAAATAGACCTGAGGATGTATCTTAGGTCTTTGGGTAAGTTACCTTTCTAAGACTCAGTTTCCTTCTTTGTGGAATGAAAATAATAATCCCCACCTCATGAAGCTGTTGAGAGAGTTAAGTCAGAAAATGAATGGAAATTTTGGTATCTTGCACATCCAAACAAAAAACCAAACTCACTGCCATCAAGTCAATTCGAACCCATAGTGACCCCTGTTGGGTTTCCGAGGCTGTAAATCTTTATGGAAGTAGATTGCCCCATCTTCCTTCCAAGGAGCAGCTGGTGGGCTTGAACTGCTGACCTTTTGGTTAGAAGCCAAATGTCTTACCCACTATTCCACCAGAGTTCCTGTAGCACCTAGTACAGCATCAGTATGTTACTTGACTGCAGTAGCAACAGCAAACATATTAGAAGTAGCTCAGTGGAAAATATGGAGTTCCTGGCTGGGGCAAACAATTAGTGCTTGGTACTAACCAAAAATTTGGCAGTTCAAATCCACCCAGATGCACCTCAGAAGAAAGCCTGGTGACCTACTTCTGAAAGATCAGCCATTGGAAATCTTATGAAGAACAGTTCTACTCTGAAACACCTTAGGTCACTGTTAGAATCACATAGATAATGACTACACCTTGTTGTTGTTGTTGTTGTTATGTGTCGTCGAGTTGGACCCGACTCATAGTGACCCCTCCTTGGGTTTCCGAGGCAGTATCACTACGGAAGTAGAGTGCTCCATCTTCCTTCTGAGGAGTGGCTGGTGGGTTTGAACCACCTGCCTTCTGCTTAGCAGTCAAGTGCCTTAGGCACTATGCTACCAGAGCTCCTAACGACTACACCTGCTCCTCACTTATCGACACAGTTTTCAAAGAACACGTTGTTATGAAAAAGTATGAGGTATGTGAAAAAGGAGGATTTTTTTTTTTCTTTTTGTTTTCAGACCATCCGTTTGCCCAACTTTTTTATTTAGAAAATATAATCCTAGAAACAATAACTGCTAAGATTTACTGATGTGGTCATCACTGTGATGGGTCCAGTACAGATTATTCCTCTGTGGAGAAGGAGGCTTGGAGGAGACAAAGCTGGATAAAGAGCAGCTGTGTGACTGCAGGGTCCAGGGCTTAATGACTTCACCTTCCTTCTGTGCTTTGGTGGAGCTGCCTCCAGGACCCACTCCCACCCCTGCAAGCTTTCCATTAAGGATCCAGAGGCTGCTCTGCCTTCTGGACCTGGCCATTACTGAGGTTCAGATCTTACTGTGTGAATTCTGGGAGTTTGGCTGTGCACTGGGCCCCACCAAGGCAGAAGCTTCAGACCCAGTTTGGATCATGTTTGGATATCATTAAACTTACATGCTTTTCTCCTCCAAATTCTCTCTGGTGCCTCTTTTTTTCCTCCCTTCTCATCCCATAGCAATTTTGAGCTATAGGCCTTCAACTCCATAGGAACTGAGAACCTAGAAGAAGCCTCGCAGGCTAGGTGCTGCCTGAGCATCCACTGGTGGCCATAGAGCAGGCCAGCCCTGCACAACAGATTGACACGATGCACCCATGGGCAGCAGGGGGCAGAGGGCACCAGGTAGCATGGTCTAGCTTCCTGGAGGCTGCTTGGAGACCATCCATGAGGGAGGGGATTCTCTGCAGGCCTGTGGGCATGCTTGCCTGCCTTGTTAATGTGCAAAATAGTTGGGTAGTAGATTTTTTTTTTTACTGTTGTCATAAATGCTAAATGTAGGATAAAGATATAGTTGATAAGTGAAGAGTAGGTGTAGTTTAGCTTTCTTTTTTTTTTCCCTCCAGTGGAAGGTGGAAGCTAAGCTATTTTGCTTTTTAATAAAATATCTCTCTCAGGACATTGTTCTATCCTTTCAAGTGTGAACAGCAATTGCTATCACTTTTAACAGAGCCTCAGATTCAATGTGGAGCTGGAGTACAAAAAACCAAATTCACTGCTGTCAAGTCGGATCTGACTCATAGCGACCCCTCCTTGGGTTTCAGAAGCAGTATCACTATGGAAATAGATTGCCCAAACTTCCTTCCAAGGATTGACTGGTGGGTTTAAACTGCCAGCCTTCTGGTTAGCAGTCAAATGCCTTGGGCACTACACCACCAGAGGAGCTGGAGTATGGGATTGTAAATGGAGACAGAAAGGCTTGGGAATTCTGGGCAATGTCTCTGTATCAGAAATTCCACTCATATATATTTGACCAGATATTTCAGGTAATGGGTTGGTCTCTTTGAAAAGATGGTCACCTTCCAGCCTCATGAATGTCTTATGCCAAAGTTGCTCAAAGAATCCCTGCCATCACCAGTTTTGACCTTGTTTGTCCTTATCACAAATTAAAAGGAAGGGCTGTTTTCATTCTGCTCAAAGGAGTGTCTGGGGCCAGATAAGGAAGTTGCATGGCATTCTGCATTCTAGCTTGAAACGTAAACCAAACTTTTGAGATTCAAAGGTACTGGTATTCAATATATTTTCAAAGTGATTTGCTCAGAGATAATTTGTCTTCTAGGTTCTATATAAGTTATGTTTTGAGCAAGGAACACTTTCACCTTCAGAAAGATAGCTTTTAAACTTGAAGACCATTTTAGTCATTAGAAAACAGTAACCATCAATGATATTATCACATGCTTTGATCAGGAAGGCAGAGATAGCATACGTACGATTTAATTTCCTGGCAGATCTTGGCCAAAAATGGAAGGGAACAAATATCAGAATCACTTCTAGGATATTTCTGGAGAGAGAGAGAGTGAGAGAGTTGTTTAATTCAAGGAATGGTTTTCCAATTTCTAGGAGTCTTTTCTCTTCTGTTGGCACCATAGTCTAGATTTCTGGGCCTTGGTCTTCCAGAATCTGGCTTGATTTAACTCATCTAAATTGATCTCTAGTTCCTGTTCCCATATTCTATATTCATTTCACCTGCCTTTGTTCCTGCTCATTCCTCATCTTAGAAGGTTCCTCCCCCTTCCCCCTCTTCACCCAGGCAGCTATTCCCACTTACAAGGACATTTTTCAACTCTTCCCAAATGGGTCTGGTCCACCTTGTCCATTCTAGTATGACAACAATATTGCACTCCCTCATTCTACCCAAATGCTTTGAAAAACCCAAAAACTCACTGCCATTGAGTTGAATCTGATGATAGCAATTCTACTAGGACAGAGTAGAACTGTCCCATAGAGTTTCCAAAGCTTTATTCCTCATCTTTCTCAGGCAGAGTGGCTGGTAGGTTTCAACCAGCAACAGTTTGGTTAGCAGCAGTATGCTTTAACCCTTGCACCACCAGAGTTCCTATGCTTTGAAAAAAGGTTTGGAAATAAACAATATTTTCAAGTAAGACAATCACATTCTATCATGAGGTAAAATAAAGACTAAAGGAAGAGACATATCAGGTCTTGGGAAGAAGAAAGGCCCCTTCCCCAGAGCTGTAGAAGAGATATGGCAATAAACTCCCCAAGCTTTAGGAGTAAAGGTATTTTTGACAGTGGTTTCTTTAAAACTCTAGATATTTGATAAAAACTCTGGCTTTCTACTCAATAGTCCTTTTAGGAAGATTGTGGTATCCGTGATGCCTCTCTCAAATGAAAGAAAAAGAAGACAATAGCATAGGAAAAGTTAGTAACCAGCATCCATCAATGAAGGGAAAGATACAGTCAATATCTGCCACCCAAAAGACTCACTATGGAGACCAGCAAGATGGCAGACTAGGCAGAAAGACTGCACAGACCCTGTTCAACAAAGAAAAGGGAAACCAATTAACACAGACACAGAAGATAATCATGGACCCCTGAGCCTTGAAAAGAAGGATATAGAAGTGAACTAAACCCCAACTAGCAGAAGAATTTGCGTGAAAATACCAAAACAGGAGACATACGGAGCTGTGGTCTGGCAGCGATCCTGATGGCACAGACAGCTTGGAGATTCCCGAGTGGTGGTAGGACCTAAGAATTA